TATATTCTTTAATTGTAAAAATGCTTAAAAGTCAAGGAATCGAGGAACAATAGACAAAGAAATCGAGGAAAGTCAGGAATCAAGAAACTGAGGGACAGCAGATAAAGGGGAAGAAAATAAAGAAAGAGATGAGGAGTAATCTCTGAATAGGAACATTTCAGTCCATCAAGTCGTATACACTTCCTTTTTAGCACTACAACTAGACCTAATCAGTGTGACGTTTGTAGTAAAGCAAGTAGAAAAAGAAAGAAAGAAAAATTGGAAAAAAGAAAAATGTAGTATAGTTTCGGATAGGGAAAAATGGGAGCAAAAATAAAAAAGAGTAAAATTAGAGAGGGAAAACAAAATAAAAACAAAATTTCAAAAACCAAGTATTTATCGCTGTTCCCGTTTCGGCTTCAAGGTACCGATGGAACAGTACCAGGTTCTGATGAAATCTCATTAGTAAACCATCAAAATTTAGTTACAAACTGGAAAATACAATACTAAAACAATAGTCAGCCAAGTCAGTCAAAATGCCCGTATGGAGATGTGAATTTAGCAAGCTAGCAACCACGAAAAAAAAAATGTTAAGATGCGGAACAAACGAGAAAGATACGAAAAAAACGAGAAATTGTGACCATTCACAAAGAAAAAGCGAAACCAAAATTTCGAAACGAGTTCCCACTCTTACCTGGATACTTTCAGCAAACGGTATTTCGGAATCTGGAAGTGCCGCTGCAGCCGAAGCAACTGCTCCAACACCACTTTCTTCAGCTTCAAGTTGACGCTCAAGCATTTGCGCCGTTTCTTCCGGTAGTTGTTCACCTTTATCCTGAACCTCCTCCAGCAATTTTCGCATTTCCGTTATGGAACTAAAAAGTGTACATGAATGCTGGACGGCATATTCAAAAAAAAAGAAACTAAACCTAGAAAACTCATGATAAATTCATAATCTGATAATCTTTTCCTTGTACAAAAAGCCAAAAACCTGTATGCGACTGTGTCCATTCATAAAAATTGCTTCAGCTTACAAAAGTTGAATATTACACAAAAATCTGCCTATACTTTCAAATTTCAAAATCTCCTTTCAAATTCGAAAAAGATTTGAAACTTAAAAAAATTCAAAAAATGCTTTTGTCCTTTTTACACATAATAGGCACAAAGATAAATTTCAAGGAGGCGGGGGCGAACAGAGGGGAAGAAGGAACAAGGAAAATTGTAATACAGGAAAAACGGAAAAATTGAGAAAAATTATTAAAACTGAAAAAATGGGAAAACTGAGAACATCTGTAAGAGTGAAAAAACTCACTTAAGCTGTTGTTCAGCTTTTCGAAATGTTTCATCTACAACTGGTCGTACCAGTTGGGCTCGTATTTCGTGCATTCGTTCTTTCCGAGCTGCGATCGATGCTAATTTTTCACTGAAATATCGCAAAATTAATTTCTATGTAGAAAATAAGCGACGAGGACAAAATCTCGCGAAATCTGTTAATTCCTTTTCAGAGATTTCCAATAGGAGATTAGCGAGGATGAAATCTGTGTCTATGTGTTTTTCGATGAAAATGCGAGTAAGCAGTCTGTGCTTCATCTCCTAGCTGTAGACATAAACAAAGTAAAAGATGCAAGTAAAAATAGGAATTACCAATAGTCAAAGAACACAATCTTCGGAAGGAAATACTGCTGTGACCATATGCACAAGCAGAGCTCTTATATTACTGGAGAGTATTGAACTTTGTGCCTTTGATAATATATATAACAGGAAATTATATTAAAAAATTGGATAATAAGAATACCAAGACCGTTCGAGCTATCAGTATATCTCATGTCAATGATGTTACTAGGATGCTGCCGCTTGCCTTATACATTTATGCAGTTCAAATTTACTAAAAGCATTGAGATCCAATATT